CTCAGACATGTATTAACTTCACTTACTCCAAAAAAACCAAACTCACTGCCATCAAATTGGACCCAACTCATAGCGACCCCTCCTTGGGTTTCCAAGGCGGTATCACTACGGAAGTAGATTGCCCAACCTCCCTTCTGAGGAGTGGCTGGTGGGTTTGAACCGCCAGCCTTCTGGTTAGCAGTCAAATGCCTTAGGCACTATGCTACCAGAGCTCCTAACTTTGCTTAAAGGAAAAGGAATACACAATAAGGGGGAGGTCAGCACAACATGACCAAGGCAAAGGAAGATACTGGGAGGTATACAAGAGTAAAAGGCAACAATGATAAATACTATTACATACACAACCCTGCAATAACAGTAATAACAAACAATAATTTACAAGTCGATACATAGGTAGGTATGTAAGCTGAACAGGTGTGAGACTGTACATGGGAATATACCACAAGCATATATAGGTTTGGCAGATGATATTTCTATGTACATATCTGTATGCTCTGCAAACATATCCAGGTATATAATAGAACAGGGGCCTAAGTTATGCTAAATTCTTAACCATAACAAACCATAACCAAACAACTTGAGGAACTGAGTCATTGAGCTTGAAGGCTTAGGATCATAGTCTCAGCGACATCTAGGTCAGTTGGCATAACACAGTCCATAAAAACAATGTTCTACATCCTACTTTGGTAAGTAGCAACTAGAGTCTTAAAAGCTTGTGAGCAGTCATGTAAGATATAACTCTTAGTCACTTCCTGCCCAGAGAAAAGAAGGGTGAAGAAAATAAAAGCCTCAAGGAAACGATTAGTCCAAAGTGCTAGTGGAGCATATAAAGCACAGCCTCTGCTAGCTTGAGACCCAGAAGAACTAGATGGTTCCCAGCTACCATTACTGATCACTCTGATTGGGATCACAATAGAAGTGAGAGAAAAACGTAGAACAAAATTCAAAATCATAAAAAAGACCAGACTTACTGGTTTGTGAGAGACTGGTGGAACCCCTGAAACTATGTCCCTTAGACACTCTTCAGAGTTGGGACTCAAGCTGCCCTTGGGGATCACTTTTCAGCCAAGCAATAGCCTATAAGGTAAATAACACTGGGAGGAATGTGTTCCTCAGAACAATCAACTATGTGAGACCAAAAGGGCAGCATTTGCCTAATAACAAAGTTCAGAAAGCAGGAAAGGCAGGAAATATGGGTGAATGGAAATGAGGAACCCAGGGAGGAAACTGGAAGAGTGCTGTTACATTGAGGGGACTGAAACTAATTTCACAAAGCAAAATGTGTATAAATTTTGAATGGGAAACTAATTTGCTCTGTAAACTTTCACCCAAACCACCAAGTATTGAAGACCTAAACATTAAATTAAACAATATAAGCAGGAAATTGAAGTTGTCAAAGGTACTTGGTTCCACAATCAACACCAATGGAAGCAGCAGTCAAGAAATCAGACAATGTATTGCACTGGGCAAATCGGCTGCAAAAGACCTCTTTAAAGTGCTGAAAAGCAAAGATGTCTCTTTGAATACTAAGGTACAGATAACCCAAGCCATGGTATTTTCAGTCACCTCATATGCACGTGAATGTTGGATAATGAAAAAGGAAAACCAAAGAAGAGTTGATGCTTTTGAGTTGTGGTGTGGGCAAAGAATACTGAAAGTACCATGGACTGCTAGACAAACTAACAAATCTGTCCTGGAAGACATGCAGCCAGAATGCTCCTTGGAAGCAGGAATGGCCAGACTTCATCTCACCTACTTTGGTCATGCTGTCAGAAGAGACCACTTCCTGGAGAAGGATATCATGCTCAGTAAAGTGGAGGGCCAACGCAAAAGGGAAAGGCCCTCAACAAAATGGATTGACACAGTGGCTGCAACGATGGGCACAGGTATGAAAGGATTGTGAGGCTGGCACAGGAGTGGGCGGTGTTTTGTTCTGTTGAGCATAGGGTCGTCGCTATGAATTGGAGCTGACTCAATGGTACCTAACAACAACAACTAACAACTATTCAAAGGAGATACAGTATCCCCTAAAATCATTTAGAATGAGAACCTGACTTTGCATGACACACTGATGGTACACTAATGATGTGAATAGAAAGTTTACTAAACTATGAATGAAAAGAAAGTTCTAATTCCAGCTCTCAGTTCTGTTACTAACCATTTGCATGACTTTGGGCAAGTAACTTAATCATTGGAGGATTTATCTTTCCTTTTTTTTTAAATGAGGGAGTTGCACAGGGGGTGTTATAAAGTACACTGGTTCTCAAATTCTGTGGTATATAAATAGTATCAAACAAAATAAAGGAAAGTTTAAAAATGTTTTATTATAAATACATTTAATAAGACTCTGGTCACATAGTGCCTAAGGCACTTGACTGCTAACCAGAAGGCTGGCGGTTCAAACCCACCACCTGCTCCTTGAAAGGAAGATGGAGCAATCTACTTCTGTAGTGATACTGCCTCGGAAACCCAAAGAGGGGTCGCTATGAGTTGGGTCCGACTCGACGGCACATAACAACAACAATAACAACAAAGCAGAATTATTATTATGCAGGAAATCCTTGAGATAAATTTACAAAGGACTCATAACACAAATGATTGCTACCTTATTTAACTTCTCTGTGCTTCAGTTGCCTCATATGTAAAGTGGAATACTAACTCTCATAGGGATGTATGTTATACAGGAAAATGACTAACACATGGAAGACATCATATTCATCAGTCAAAGACTGCCTTTATTGAAATAGTTTTGGTTAGCAGATATTCTGAAGATATAATTGTATATTTTGAAAATACTATTATAGCATTATAAGGTACTCTGAAGGCTTAGTAAGACATTGGGCTGCTAACCAGAAGGTCAGCAGTTCACATCCACCAGCTTCTCCGTGGAAGGAAGACGGGGCAATCTACTTCTGTAAAGATTTATAGCCTCGGAAACCCAATAGGGGTTGCTATGAGTCAAAGTCAACTCAATGGCAGTGAGGTTTTTTTTTTTTTTTTTTTTTTAATTATACCAATATATTAAATACATGAAAATATTCCAAAGAAAGAAAGAGACCTCAGATAAGCAAAGCACTGCTGAAGAAGAAAAACAAAGTAGGCAGTCTCATACTGGATCTCAAAACCTACTATACAGCTACAGTAGTCAAAACACATTGTACTGCTACAATGATAGACCAATGGAACAGAATTGAAAACCCAGAAATTAGATCCATCCATCTATGGACAGCTGATCTTTGACAAAGGGCCAAAACCCATCAAATGGGGGAGAGATAGCCTCTTCAACAAATGGTGCTGGCAAAACTGGATATCCACTTGCAGAAAAGTGAAACAACCCATACGTCACCCCATACACAAAAACAAATTCAAGTTGGATCAAAGACCTATATGTAAAACCCAAAACTATAAAATTAATCAAAGATAAAATAGGGGCAAATCTAAGGGCCCTAATTTATAGTATAAATAAGGCTATGAAGCACAACCCAAGGAGCTCTAGTGGTGCAGTGCCTACGGCATTTGACTGCTAACCAGTTTGAACCAGTTGGCAGTTCAAACCCACCAGCTGCTCTGCTTAAAGAAGATGGGGCAATCTACTTCCATAAAGGTTTACCACCTCAGAAACCCAATGGGTATCACTTGAGTTGGAATTGACTCGATAGCAGTGACTTTGGTTTTTATTTTTGAAGGACAGATTTGGCTGAAGATAATCTTACATATGTATTTATCCTACAAAATTATCCACATACATTATAGAAGTAGCAGAGGACAGGGTTGGAGTAGCATCTCAGAGAAAACCAAACACCCTGAGAGAGAGAATCACCAGGCCTCTGGGCTCAGAACCATAGTCTCGGGAGACATCATGCTCAGTTGGCACAACATGGTACATAAACATCTTGATCCACACCCTGCTTTGGTGAGTAGCAACTGGGGTCTTAAAAGCTTTCGAGCAGCCATCTAAGATGCAATTATTGGTCTCCTCTTCTCTGGAGCAAAAATGAGTAAAGAAAATCAAAGTCATTTGGGAACAATTAGTCCAAAGATATGATAGACCACAAGGACCTCAACCTTCATGACCCTGAGACCAGAACTAGATGGTGCCCAGCTATCAATGCCAACCACTCAGAAAGGAATCAAAATTAGAGATCCTGGTTAGAGTGGGAGAAAAAATGTAAAACAAAATTCAGAACACAAAAATGATCAGAAGTACTAGTTGGACAGAGATTGGTGGAATCCCTGGTTATCCTTTGGGGCTAGAAATGGACTCATTTCTGTGGATTGGCTCTCAGACCAAAAGTAGAAAGACGTACATGCAGAACACCTACCCCAGGGAGATGCACCTCTTGGATCAGTCAACCATGAGACATCAGGGGGGTAGCATTCACACAGAGGGAAAGTTGGACAGACAGGAATGCACAGATAAGAGAGGCATGGGGATGGGATAGTCACAGGGAGAAGAGTTTTTTGTGGTTGAGGATTGTAATCGGGCTGTGGAATCAAATGTGCATCAGCTGTTGAACGTAAAACAAACCTGCTTTGTAAATGTGCATACAAAGTACAATCAATAAATAAATGTTGGGAAAAAAAATTATTCCAAGCAAGTAATAGGTACTATTTAAGGAGTAAATACACATCTCAATTTATTTTTGGCAACAAATATTTTGAAGTTTCAACAGAATCAGTGTATCAATATATGAAGTACACTTTACATATATACAGCCAAATTACATTATACAAACTTTAAAAAAAAAAAGAACCTTTCCATTTTAAGAGCCAGTGATTGTTCAACTTTATTAACATTAAAGTCAGTTTAAATAAAATTAAAACAAGTCCCTTAAAATTTAAAAGAAGGATAATACATTACACGAGATTATTTGATTATTTAAAAAAGTTGATTCTTACTATTTGAAGCCAAGATCCCAAATATCATAGTAGCATTTCTTCTTACAATTTTGTCTTCATGAGTGAGCAGTTTAGTTAAAGGTTCCACAGCTCCAAGTTCGAGGAGAGTTGCTTTATTTTCCTCACCTGACATTGTAAGGAAAACAAAATCATACCTGGGTATTATTTATCTCATCAAATCACTTTGTGTCATTCCAATTTCGTATTTGCCATTTGCTTTTCCACATTCCTCTTGTTTTGATTCATATTTCTCTCAGGATAAGCTTTAGAGTGTGAGCACACCCAGACATCTGCTGCTCTTCCTTCTCCCTCATGTTTACAAAGCTGGCTTTATCTTGACATCCAGTTCTTAGATCACATGGCATCTCCTAAAGGGACTCCTCTAACCACCCTATCTAACAATATCACCACATCCAAGTCTTCTCTCTCTTTATCCTGCTTTATGTACTTCATACCACCCAACCACCTCTATGTTTGTCTTCCTACTCCACAATAACTTCCTTTCCATGAGGACGGATACCGTGTTTGCCCTGTTCTCTCACATATCCTCAGTGCTTAGCACAGTGCTGGCCATGAAATAGGCACTCAGTAAATACTTACATAGTTAATTAATTATAAAAGCAATTAACAAGTATAGCCCCCTCTTCGAGTTAAAGTAGGTGTACTGGGAATTACAACTTATTTTTCACCCAATGGAATTAGAGCTCCCATTATGTCTTTCAAGATGCAGCTATAACCAGCACAGAGGTGCACAAGCTGCTCTAGATGAGGAGAGACCCACTGCTGCATCTAGATGCCTGGTTGCAAGCTTTTAAGACTCCAGCTACAACTCATCAAAGTAGGAGGTAGAACAATGTTTTTGTGTAGTATGTTATGCCAACTGAGCTTGATGTCCCCTGCAGCTATGGTCCTGAGCCCACAGGCCCAACTACTTGCTCCCTCAGGGTAGCTGGCTGTGGCCAAGAAGCCACTACAACCTTGCTCCTTGTCAGCTCTGTTATACACTTGGACATTCTTACAGGACATACAATACACATGTAGAAACATCATCTGCCAACCCTGTACATGGTCATGGGAATGCTCCCCATTGCTTAGACATACCTGATCATTCAGCCTGTACACTCATCTATCCACCTGTAGATCAATGCTTGCCATCACTGAAAATGTAGTACTGTACATGCAAAATGGTTCATCTTTGTTGTCTGTACTCCCAATACACCTCTATTACATCTTCCTCTTCCTCAGTGCCACCATGTTGATCACTCACTTTTGGTACGTCATTCCTTCACTCAAATCAATACATGTCTCTACCTATCTAGCACTGTTCCCTTCCCTCCCCTCCCATGCCTGATAACCAACAAAGAAAGCTTCCTTCCATATATAAACCTTTCTTTAACTTTTTACAATAGTGCACTAATAAAATATTTGTCCTTCTGTGATTGACTTGTTTGACTCAGCATAATATCCTCCAAGTTCATCCATGTTATGTTGTGTTTCACAGATACTACATTATTCTTTAGTGTTGCATAGTATTCCATTGTGTGTATGTTTGGTTATCCATTCATCTGTTGATAGGCACTTACAATGTTTCTATTTCTTTGCTATTGTGAATAGTGCTGAAGTGAACATGGTTGTGCATGTATCTGTTCTTACCCCAGTTCTCACTTCTTTGGATATATACCTACTAATGGGATTGCTGGATCAAATGGTATTTCTAATTCCAACTTTTTAAGGAGTTGCCATACTGATTTCCACAGTGGCTGTATCATTTTACAGACCCACAAGAAGTGTAAAAGAGTCCCAATCTCTTCACATCCTCACCAGCATTTGTTATTTTCTGCCTAGTTGAACTTTGCTCTTAGAGCTGGGGTGAGATGGTATCTTGTTGTTTTGATTTGCATTTGTATCTTTCTAATGGCCACTTCTCAGAAGGAAGGTTGGGCATTCTACTTCCTAGTGATACTGCCTCAGAAACCCAAGGAGGGGTCGCTATGAGTCCAGTCCGACTCGACAGCACATAACAACAACAACAATGGCTAGTGGGGAGCTCTGGTGGTGTAGTGCCTAAGGCATTTGACTGCTAACCAGAAGGCTGGCAGTTCAAACCCACCAGCTGCTCCTCGGAAGGAAGGTTGGGCAATCTACTTCCAAAGTGTTTCTGCCTGAGAAACTCAAGGAGGGGTCTCTATGAGTTGGATTTGACTCGACAGCAGTGAGTTTGATTTGGTTAATGGCTAGTGATCGTGAATATTTCTTCATGTGTTTGTTGGCCACCTGAGTATCTTCTTTGGTGAAGTATCTAGTCATGTCTTCTGCTCATTTATTAATTGAATTGTCTGTCTTTTTGTAGTTGAGGTGTTGGAGTTTTCTATACATTTTAGAGATAAGTCCCTTGTCAGGTATGTCATTGCTGAATATTTTTTTCCCAATCTCTTGGTTCTCTTTTCACTCTTTTGGAGAAGTCTTTAGAAACACATAAAAATTTAATTTTTAGAAATTAAAAAATTTAATTTTTCTTCTGCTGTTTGTACATTTTGGGTGATGCCTGACAGTCTATTTATTCTATAAATTAGGGCCCCTAAATTTGCCTCTATGTTTTCCATGAGGAACTTTATAGTTTTAGGTTTCACATTTAAGTCTTTCATCCATCTGGAGTTAGTTTTTGCATATAGTGTTAGGTATGGATCTTGTTTCATTTTTCTGCAAATGGATAACCAATTTTGCCAGCACCATTTGTGAAAGAGACTATCTCTTGACTTTTTAATGGATTTTGGCCCTCTGTCAAAGATCAGCTGATCATAGGTCGATGGATGGATTCCTGGGTTCTCAGTTCTATTACACTGATCTGTGTGTCTGGCGTTGTACCAATACCAGGATGTTTTGACTACTGTGGCTGTACAGTAGGTTTTGAGATCTGCGAGTGTGAGACCTTCTAATTTGTTGTTCTTCTTCAATAGTGCTTTGCTTACCTGAGGTCTCTTTCCTTTCCATATAAATTTAGTGATTGGTTTTTCCATACACTTGAAGAATGTTGGTGGGATCTGGATTGGGATTGCATTGAATGTATAGATTGCTTTGGTTGTT